CAATTTATGGAATTTACCCTGTATAAGCTTTATATGGGGTAAAACGGATTTTTTTGGGGGGTTGAACCCCATTTGGAGTTGGGTACTTGAGTGTTGGAGACAGGAACACTTTTTAAGCTGTTTTCAGTTAAGCCTGAAGCTATTGGGGGATGTTGTTCAGACCTGGGTCTGTGTTTGTAGTAGGCTAGTGTGTCTGGCACAACCAGGCAGAATGCTGAAGTCCCAAGCTGCCAGGGAAAACAGGCTCAAGGGTAGTCTCAACACATCAGATGGCAGTCCCAAAGGAGGTGTCTGTGATCCAACCCGTCACAGACCACCTCTAGGGTAAGAATACTGTCATGAGAGTGATCCCTGAAACAGGATCAGAACGGGGGATATGAAGGAGGTGGTGTCAAACTTTATCATATAGCTGTGTCGAATGACATCCAGAACCCAATTTGTCCATTGTTATCACACTCCATGCTGGTAGAAATAGTTTGAGATGGCCTTCAAATCGGGTGTTTGGCAAGAGCGTAGGAGTACAAAATTGAAGGCTCTCTAGATGCACTTAGAAATATCACTTACCCAAAAGTTGGGTGTGCTGTGCAGAGGATTGCACTGGCGGACCAGGCAGATGAGAGCTGTAGATCTTCAGGCGCTTCTGTAGAGGTTAATATGCCTGTTGGTGGTAAATCTGGGGAGTCTTATAGCATTGCATAGGCAGCGGGCCATAAAATTTTCATTTAGGCACTGGTGTATAAATGCCTAGGGATTGTAGGGTGGCTCTAGAACCTTTCAGTGAGTGTAAGGAATCATCTGTCTTCTGTATGAATAGGTGTGAATCATCAAAAGGGAGATCCTCAACTGTGCTCTGTGCCTCTCTAGACAAGCCTGAGGAATGTAACCAGGATTCCCTCCTCATGAGGATTCCAGTCATCACTGTACATGAGGACGTGTCTGCGGAATCAATCGCAGCCTGAAGTATGGTCCTAGAGACGAACTTGCTCTCCTCCAAAATAGCCTGGAAGCAGGCACAATCGTGCTGAGGTACTTTATCTGCAAAAATCTGCCATCTGCCCAAAGCTCAAAAAGTCATATTTGGCCATTAGCGCTAGGTAGTTTGAGATACGGGACTGGAGGCTGGCCAAGGTAAAGACCTTTCTACCCATAAAGGTCTAACCTCTTGCCCTCCTTTGTCAGAGGGGGTGGAGCGTGGAAGCTGTTTGGCCTGCTCTGTATCAGGCTAGATCACCAGGGAATTAGGCAGAGAATAGAAGAACAGAAACTCAGACCTCCTTGGTGGCGGGGGGAGGGAGGAGGGTGTACATAGTACCTCTTTTCGGCCCCCTTTGGGGTGGGGAGAACGTGACCAGGGTAGACTACACGGTGCATGTCGGTTAGAGAATGGCATAATTGATCGAAAGGGTCACTCTGGCCGAAACTGATGCATGCAAGTTGTCTAGTAGTTGTTGCTGACTGTAGTGCACCTCCCTCCGATGGGATCTGCAGAACATTAGTTATTCTCCTGAAACTGACGGTAGTCATCTGGGGAAGAGGAGGGCATTGATGACACAGCTGCGTCTGGGGACAACGAGGGGAACTGCTCCAGATCCACTGGTACTGTAGGAGCCGGGCTGACTGGCGTATCGTCCAGCCCCAGTTCCGGACATCTACTCAACAAAAGATGGGGCAGTGAGACAGAGGATTCCTTCCAGGTTGAGTGAGATGGTTCTGAAGTGAATATTAGGGCCACAACTCCAACCTGGCCAACCTGGTTGATCCTGCAGTTGTTGTGGCAACCTTCCCATCCCCAGACACGGGTGCTGGAAACTGCCGAAACAGCACCACAAAGTCCTTAATCCTATAAAAATGACCATGAACACTAAAATTACTACAAAAATCAGTAAAATCCTAACTATGTACAAGAATAACACGAATAAACAG